TCATAGTACACAAAGAACCTCGAAGGAACCCTCACTTTGAGTCCAGACTGAAATGTTATAGAAAGATCTGCCATGGCAAGATTTATCTAGGACAGAATCCACTTGGATAGAACAGACCTTTTGCTGCTCTGAATTTCTACCGTGTTGGAATAAACTTCCTTAAAAACTCTTATTTCAGCACTCTTGTAATCCCAGCAACTGGGGAGGCTGAGGCAGGAGAAACACAAGTTTGAGACATTTAGTGAGACCCTATGTCAAAATAAAAAATAAAGGCTGGGATATAGCTCAATAGTAAAGTGACCTCAGTTTTAATCCCTAGTACCAAGGGGAAATTTTTTCTATTTCAACAAAGTAATTCTATTTGCCTTTTTGTTTTATTTTGTTTATAACTATTTGACAATAAGATTAATGATTGTAACAACTACATTAAATATCTTATAAAAGCAAAACATTTTGAACTTTCTATAAAAATTTATAATTAGTATTTTATGAATAATATCATTTTTAAATTGTTATTTATATGATAAATTTTACTATCAAAAACGTGGAGGAAGAGAAGGATCCAGATTACCATTGAGAGTAAAAAAGGAGCCGGGCACTGTGGCGCATGCCTATAATCTCAGTGGCTTGGGAGGCTGAGGCAGGAGGATGGGAGGCTAAGGCCAGAGGATCACAAGTTCAAAGCCAGCCTCAGCAAAAATAAGGTGCTAAGCAATTCAGTGAGACCGTGTCTCTAAATAAAATACAAAATAAAGTTAAAAAGGAGATAATGCCACAAATTCTACAGATAGCAATAGGTTCAAAATGTAGTATTATAAACTATTACAATTAATTCTTTCATGCCTATAAGTTTGATAGCTCAGATGAAATGAACAAATGCCTCATAAAACAAAACTAATTAGTGATGAAATCTAAGTCTGAATAGTCTTTGTCAAAGAAATCAAATTTATTATGAAAGAAATGTTCAGTGGGCTGGGGCTGTAGCTCAGAGGCAGAGTGCTTGCCTAGCATGCGTGAGGCACTGGGTTCAGTCCTCAGCAGCACATAAAAATAAACAATAAAATAAAAGCATTCTGCCCATCTACAATTACAAAAAAAAATTATTAAAAAAAAGAAATGTTCATGTCCAGATGGTTTCATTGGTAACATCTGTCAGTCATTTAAAAAAGATGTAGTGCCAAATTGAAAATTCACAAGAAAAGAAAACTTCTTCTCGTGTTATAAGACCAGTATATCTCTGATAATTGAATTTTGGCAAAGACCTAACAAGAAAAGTAAATTGTGTACCAATTTTCTTCATGAACAAAAGTATAAAAATACTTTACAGAGAAAATCTAATCCAATACTATATAAAAAAATATAATAAGTGAGATTTATACAAGGAGTATTAAATGAGTTTAATGGTTGAGAAAACAGTGCAGTACAACATATTAACAGAATAAAGGAAATACCAGTAAGGTCATGTTAATGCACAAAGCATTTGACAAAATAAACCCTTTTATGATAAAACTCAGTGAAGGAGAAACAGAAGAGAACTTCCTAAATCTGATAGCATTTATAAAAAGTTTAATGAGGAGCTAGCATTATAGCTCAGTAAGTACAGCATACACAAGCCCTAGCTTCAATCCCCAGCACTGACTAAATGAGATTATATACCACAGGGTGAAATACTTATTCCTTAAGAGTAGGAATAAGGCAAAGATTTGGGGGGAGTACCAATAATTGAACTCAGGGGCACTCGACGACTGAACTACATCTCCAGCCCTATTTTGTATTTTATTTAGAGACAGGGTCTCACTGAGTTGCTTGGCACCTCACTTTTGCTGAGGCTGGCTTTGAACTCATGATCCTTCTGCCTCAGTCTCATGAGCCACTGGGATTACACGCGTGTGCCACCACACCTCGCTCTTTGTTTACCTCTTTTCTCAACACATTACTGGAAGTTCTAGAAATAAAAGCAATTCAAGAAAAAAAAAATGTTAGGTTTAAAGATTAGAAAGAGAGGTAGAACCTTAAGGAAATTCTAATAAACCAACAAAAAAAAGTCAAAGACTTCTCAAACTATAACTGAATTTAGAAAGATCTCAGGATAGATTAGTATGCAGAAATTAAATATATTTCCATACACTAGTGGCAAAGAGTCAGAAAATTAAATTAAGATTGATTTTGGGGCTGGGAATATAACTCAGTTGGTAGAGTGCATGCACAAGGCTCTGGATTCAATCCCCAGTACCACACACACAAAAAAAAAAAGAATACGAAAATAAGACCAGTTCTTAATTGAGTAGAATATCAAATATCAAAAATAATTAGAAACAAATTAACAAAAAAAATGCATTGAAAACTTCAGATGTTGCTGATAGAAACTCAAGGAAGCCTAAAGAAAGAAAGATACATAGCATGTTAATAGATTAGAAGATTTGATGTGAAGATGTCATTTCCTCCCAAATTAGTCTATACATTAAACTTTCCAAGCAAAATCCCAGCAGGCTTTTTTTTTTTTTTAAAGTAGATGTTGACAAAGTGATTTCAAAGATATATATATATAAACATAGAGGGCCTAAAACAAATAATATTGATAAGAACATGTTGGAGGGCTGGAGTTGTGGCTCAACAGTAGAATGCTCGCCTAGCATGTGCAAGGTCCTGGGTTCGATACTCAGCACCATATAAAAATAAATAAGTAAAATAAAGGTATTGTGTCCAACTACAACTAAAAATAAATATTTTAAAATAAAATATGAACATGCTGTATAACTCCCACTAGCTGACTTCAAGACTTATGAAGATATGGTGATAATCAGTGACACTGTACTACTGTCCTAAGGGCAGATAAGTAGATAAGTGGAATAAAGTCTATAGGTCATGGTCACTTAATTTTCAACAAAGGCACCAAATCAGTAAATTGGGAAAGAAATGTTTTTCAACAAATACATATGAAAAAATTAGCCTATGTAAAAATATATTTGATACAGAATCTAGATCTAATCCAAAAAACTAAAACTACTAAGCTTTTGGGTAAAAACAGAAATATCTTTATGTTCTAGGGGAGGCAGAGTTTGTTTGTTTTGGGGGTAATTTGGTTTTTGCAGTTCTAGGGATGAAAACTAGGGTCTCTAACATGCTAGGCTAGTTTTCCACCACTAAGCTACATCCCTGTCCCTAAAAGCAATAAAATGAAACTGATAAATTAGTCTTAACCAAAATGATCATAACAAATAACAAGGATGTGAAGGAACTGAAAATCACTTTGGAAAAAAGTTTGGCAGTTTCTTATAAAGTTAAACAGACCTGTTACCCTGTTAGTATTTATCCAAGAGAAAGTTCAGCTTAGTTGTCGAAGAACATTTATAGCACTTTGATGCACAGTAGCCAAAACATGAAGACAACACAAACACCTGTCAACAGGTAAATGAACTTACAATGTAATACAGCTTAACAGTGAATCAAAATAAACTACTGATAAATGAACAACAAGGATGAATCTGAAGACCATGATGCTGAATGAAAGAAGACAGACACAAAATAATATGTAGTATGTGATTCCACTAACTTGAATTTCTAAACTAGGTGAAGCTAATTTAGGAAGAAGCAAAATCAGAACTGCCTTCATGGGGATACAGGGAGAAAGGATTAATTGGAAAAAGACACACAAAACTATGAAAATTATATGGCTTAAGATTTGTATATTTTAGTATCTCTAATTTTTTTCTGAAGAGTGTAAAATAACTGAAAGGAACAAAGTGGGTAGAAGTATAGATAAACCAAGAATGTATTGATAATCACTGAAGCCGAGTTATAATTATATATGGTTTATTATAAAATTCTGTTCACTTTGTATTTGAAATTTTGCATAGCAAAACTTCAAAAAGAAGTAGGAGCAGTAAGTAGAAGGAGAAATATTGGGATATTGAACTTAGTGTTAAATCATTTGATTGTCAACTTAAAAAACAGTGAAACAAATATAGTTTTTCCATTCCTTTCCCTAAACTACTTAAGTAGGAAGGGAGCGTTTACAAATGGGTAAAAGATTTAGAAAACTGAACATAAAGCATTTGGCTAAAACAAGTATAATTAGGTGGCTAAATTTGAGATAATTTGGAATTTAATTGCAGCAATTTAATAACTTAAATAACCTAAGGGAAAATTTGTCTCCTAATTGATTTGAATTCATAGTTAGGGATTTTGTCTGCATCTGATTTTTTTAAATCTTTTTTTTTTTTTAATTTGCTTTCCATATGAAGATTTATACAAATGATTCTGAAAGGTAGGTGGGTTTTTTAATGTACTCAGTTTCAAGGCTTTTTTTATGACTTAATAATTAATAAAAATGTCTTAATGCTTTGTAAGTACATAAAAGGAGAAGGAAAAACACACTGTGTGTGTTCGAGAAAATATATATATTATATATGTTTACATTTCGCTTTTTATTTTTTTTACTTGTTTTAATTAGTTATACATGACAGTAGTAGAATGCACTTTGATATATATATAATGAAGTATAATATCTCATTCTTCTGGTTACACACGATGTAGAATCCCACCATTCGTAAAGTGTAAATGTACATAAGGTAATAATGTCTGGTTCATTCTACTATCCCTCCTACCCCTACATATATAGCTTTTTAAGAGATATATACTTGAAAATGTGGCTATAAAGTATCAGTGATATAAAATATTGTTATGAATAGAAATTCTCTTGAAAGTAGTACTAGATAATCTTGACATTTTTTTTTAATAACTGCTGACTTTAGAACATGTATCTATTAAGTAAGCTAGCTTTCTTAGAAGAAAATTATTACTAATAAATGCTCATGTTTTTGTTATCCATTTTCTCCTTTGATTCCTACATGGTCAAAAATGTCTTATTAAAAAGTATTTTAATTAATATTTAACAAATAGCTAGTATATATTTTATAATAACAACTTATCCATTTTTTTAGATTGTTTTGAAAAATCCAGTAAATACATATGTAAAATCATGTTTGCAATCTTTTTAGCTACAGAAGATCATAAGTAAACAAGATGACTTAAAGACAATGAAAACTAATGAAATAGACTGTCAGGTATGTACATTCATAATCTAAATATTTACAAACAGACAATATTTATAGTAGTTGCTCTATTGTGTTGTTCAAATAAGTATTCACAAATAGTTGATAAGTTGTAAATAATAATATTTTAAATAGTTATGCTATATTAACATGGTCCTAACTCCAAAAGGTACACAAGAATATATAAATAGAGCAGTATTCCCTCTGCCCCTTTCTGCCCAGTTCTTCCTAAGGAGAAGAGTACTATAAATTTCTTGTGTATTCCTCAAGAGAAATTTTATGCATATAAACCACATATGTAAAATTAGTTTAATAAATAGATCTATATCTGTTTTTCATGTTTATAAAAGCAGTAGCATGCTATACATTGCTCCACACTTTTCTTTTTCTATTAATATATCTAGATATCTCATTCTTTTTAATAGCTATATTTACTTTGTTGTATAGGTATAGCAGTTTCAATCCTCTTTTGGAAAACATTTAACATGTATTCATCTTTGCATATTAAAATAATACTAAATAAATAATCCCATAATTACACCATTACATATGTGTTTGTGTGTGTACAGAAACATAGTTGCTGATTCAAAAGGTATAAGTATTTCTAAGGTTATTGACACACTTGCTCAGGATTAACTAATAACTTCTATAGAATATGAACCAATTTTCATTCCCAATGAAATGCATGTAAGCAAATTGTTTAATTATTAATTAAATAATATTTCAATTAATCATAATTCCATGTTATGCTTTTCATGAAATTTTCTTAAATTTCCAGAGTATATCATCTTTTAGAGAATGTCTGTTTCAAAATTTGTAAAATTATTTGCAGTGTAGTTTTTGTTTACATTTTATTCCCTTTGAATAATCCTATACTGGACTTCTTTGTCTCACATCTAAGTTTTTAAATGCTATATCCTTTTCCTAGATGTATATAACCTATATGTTTTCATAATACCCTGAATGTCCCCAATCATAGCACATTGTCATTTAATATAATAGTTTGTTTAATGATATGTATGGACTCGTGACAACTAAGGAAGCCCACTCAAGCCTTGATATCCAGAGATGTTACTGGAGTCAACCTTATAAACCTAGTTGGCTGCCAACATACTTGAACCTTAGTATCCAGCCCTTCCAGAAATAAGGCTGAACCCCTTTACCCAAAATCCCTACCCTAAATCTCCTTGTTAGACTATCTGATGTGGTTCAAGACCCCAGACACCCTTGCCTTAGGAACCACCAGTGGCCCTGGACAAAGTCTAGACCTGTTCTTATGTAAGATTAATTCTTTATTTACACGGGTTGTGTCCATGAAGCCTGGTAAAACACAAATCATATATCATATGCTCAATTAATGTTTTTGTTTTTTTGCTGTGCTGGGGGATTGAATCCAGGGTCTTGTACATGCTAGGCAAGTCCTCTACTACTGAGCTACATTCCCATACTCTATGTTACAGAATATTAAGATTGTTTCTGGAATGAAGGTATAGCACAGTGGTAGAATATGTGCTTAGCATGTACAAGGCCCTGGATTCAGTCCACAGCACCAAATTAAAAAAAAAAAAAATATTTACAGTATTGCTATTAGAAGTCATGGTGCTACTCAGGAAGCTGAGGCAAGAGGATTGTTTGAGCCCATGAGTTCAAGATAATCCTGGGCAACATGCAAGACCCCATCTCAAAAAAAATAAAGCTGAGCACAATAGCACACATCTATAATCCCAGCTACTCAGGAGGCAGGAGGATCACAAGTTCAAAGCCATCCTCTGCAATTTAGGGAGGCCCTAAGTAACTTAGCAAGACCCTTTCTCAAAGTATAAAAAGAGCCAAGAATGTAGCTCAGTTGTTAAGTGATTCAATTCCTGGTACCTAAATAAATAAATACTAATAAATATCTATTAAACACATAAATTTAGGATAGAGTTCTAAAAGTGAAATTCTTGGATAAAAGGCATGAATATTTTTTAAGGTTTTTGATACCTATTGCCAGATTCCTTTCTGGAAAGGTTTTTTAACAATTGACAGTGCCATCTCTTGACAATCTCTCTAGGATCGATCTCTTTATTTTGTTTTGTTTTTAATCTGTGCCAGTTTGGTAGGAGAAGGTATCTCACATAATCTTTTTTTTTTTTTTTCAAGTAACTATAGATCTTTTGTACTTCTTATTTTGCAAGTTTTCTTTTTCTGTCTTTTTGGGGGAAATTTGCCTTAGATTTTTGTTTCACATATACTTTTACAAGTATTTTATATTTAAAGATATTAAACTAAGATCTGTCAAAAGTATTCAGATATTTTTCAGATTAGTTTTGAGTATCATGTTTTGGCTATGGGTTTTGTTTATTTTTTTTTTTTTAACTGTAGTCCTGTTTTTTTGTTTTTGTTTTTGGCAGTGCTGGGAATTGAACCCAGGGCCTTGTTCATTCTAGGCAAGCACTCTGCCAACTGAGCTATATCCCCAGCCCTCTGTGGTTTTTTTTAATCCAATTATTTTCATTTCTTAAAAGTGTATCCCTGTCAAAATTCACTATAAATACTAACCTATATTCTTTCTTAGTTCTGGTTTCATTTCTTTACATTTAATTTTTTCCTTCATCAAAATTCATTTTGTAAGGGTAAACCTAGGGAACTTTGTATTGTTACTGTTATGTAGACTCTTTTTTCCCTCAAGGGAAAAATTATTACTACTAAATAGGAAGTCTATTTGATTTTTAATGTTTGTGTTCTGGTGGACCTTACTGAATTTTCTCATGATTTTGATTTTTTTTCTGTTGATTTTCTTGGTTGTATAAAGTCATTTTATCTCTAATATTAATCTTATATATTATACAAAATTAACAGGAAAATATGTTAAATAATAGTGTTAATGGCAGGCATCCTGATCATTATTTTTGACAAACACTGGAGAAGGAGAAAGTGGATGTGGACAAGGTGATATGCTCAAACTTAGCAAAATGATTCTAAAGTCATAAAGAATAAACATGAGAGAACAGTCACAAACTTTCTGAAAAATACAAGTACCTCTCATTAGAGGTACTTATCCAAATAAAGTGGTATCATGAGAAATAAAAGTTAAAAATATAAATGCAAATACGTACAATTATTAGTATATGTAATATAGGTAGCACTTTAAATTGGTGGGAAAATACTGTGAAATTACTTGTTGATAATCCAAAAACCTAGAAGTTATTCTTGACATCTCCTTGTTCCTCCTATACAGCTAAGTCACTATGTCCAATCTCTTCTGCCTCTTAAATATTTCCAAATCCATGTTTTTTTCTTCTGTTTCCACTACTGTTATTTGAGAAAGCCACTATCATTTTCTCACTTTGAATATTACAGTGGCCTCCTAACTGATCTCCCTGTATTCACTGTCTTTGCATTTTCAGGCTGTAGCCAGGAATGACTTAAGCACAAATATAATGTAACTACTACTTAATTCTTCAATCAAACACTACGTATTTCATACATGGATCAAAACATCACATGGTACTCATAAATATATACATTTTAGCCATCAGCAGTAACATAATAAAAATTTTTCAACAGTGTGAAAAATCCTTTTTTTTTAAAGAGAGAGAGAGAGAATTTTTTAATATTTATTTTTCAGTTTTTGGTGGACACAACATCTTTATTTTATTTTTATGTGGTGCTGAGGATCAAACCCAGCGCCCCGCGCATGCCAGGGGAGCACATTACCGCTTGAGCCACATCCCCAGCCCTGTGAAAAATCCTTATAAGCCTATGTCATCTGTCTCTGACCTTCCTCCAGCCTGTTGCTGTACCACTTTCCTCTGCAACAGAGTATGTGGTCTAACTACCTAGGTTCTAATGCTGCTTTCAACATTTAGTAGCTATGTGACCCTGGGCATACCTGTCTACCAGTCTACTCCATTGGGAAATTTGGGAGATTAAATGAGTTAATACATTACAATCTCTTAGATAAAAAGTAGATAAAAGAGTTTGTTTTATACTTACTTTTGCTTCCTACATCTTTGCCGTAGAGCACCATGCTTTCTGCACATTCAGGCCTTTACACATGCTCCCTGTTTGGAATGTTTATTCCCACTTCTTTCTTACTAAACTTTGCTAAGGTTTCAAATCATAGTTTAAATGGCATTTTCTTAGGGATACGTTGCCTGAGCTCCTAAGGAAGTCCTATCTCATACTCCCATAACTCCCTATACATCTTCCTAGTACTTTCATGCTGTGATTACTTTGTGTGGGGGTAGGAGGGAGAAGGGGTGTGTGCCTGCTCCAGGCGCTGGAGATTGAACCCAGGGCCTCAGGCATGCTAAACTTGTGCTCTTCCACTGAGCTATACCTCCAGCTCCTGTATGTTTACTGTTTTTAATAACTTGCCCACCTGTCTCACAGTCATAGAAAACCATGAATCCTCAAGGACTATTAAAATGCCTGGTACATACTGGGCCTTCACTACATCCTCGTCGGTGACTAATGGACTAACTGACCAAACAATACTGAGCTTATGTCACTTTTTATTTCAGAATAAATTCCAGATGAATCAGAAATTTAAATGTCAAGAATGATACTATAAAAGGACTATAAGAAACTAATGTTTTAGATTGTTGAGGTAGGAGGTTTTTTGTTTTTGAGGCAGGTAATGTTCTAAAAACAGAGAGGAAAATTCTGGTAGATGTGACTATTATTATTTTTTTAATGACTAATATCTCAGTGGAAAAATAAATATGAATAATCAAAGAAAAACCAAGTTGAATTAATAGTGATTTTTTTAAATGTGTTTTCCTACCAGATTGGCAATGATAAGAAAGATTACTAATCTATATTCTCTAAGGTAAATGTCAGTGAACACTTTTTTAAAAAATTTTTTTTAGTTGTTGGATCTTTATTTATTTATATGTGGTGCTGAGAATCGAATCCAGTGCCTCACCCATATGAGGCAAGCGCCCTTCCACTGAGCCACAACTCCAGCCCCAATGGGCACTCTTGACAGGAAAGTAAATTGCAAAGATATCTAATAAAATATCTAA